ACTTGCCCAGGGTCACATAGCTAGTAAGTGTCTGAGGCTAGATTTGAACTCAGGAAGAGGAATCTTCCTGACTCCAGGCCTAGGGCTCTATCCCAGCTGCCCCAGGGTCAGAAAGAACTGGTTTTAAGTCTTTCCTCAGATACTTCCTAGCTATGTTATCCTTGAGAAGTTATTTAACTTTTCCCTGTTATTGTTTCCTCTTCTGTAAAATGGGGAAAATAATGCCTGTAAGACTTATGTGGGATTTTGTGAGGATCAAATGATATTCAGTGGAAAGCACTTCGCGTACCTTAAAGTACTACAGGATCATTATCATTCTTGAAAACAGAAAACGTTGGGGTTCACTTTCTTTTGGTTAAGGCTCCCAGTTATGTTTAGAACGAATGACCCTATAGAGAGAAGATCCTGAAAACTTGTCTCTAAAAACTAACTAAAAATTAACAGCCTGTTAGTTGTTTGTCATCTAACAGGTCGGGAGTTAGCCTGGCAGGTCTGAGTTATTGTCGAAGGAATTCATGCATCAGCTGGACTGAGAATTCTGGAGATTACCTTCTAGCTCTGAGATTCTGTGATTCAAATTTCATCACAACCAACATTTCTCACTTAATGAACTCATTGGTACTCTACCTGGGGCTTCCTCATGTGACATCCATGTGGTTGCTCAAAAACTTGTTATGCAAAATGGTGTTTTGGGGGACAATTTGTTCCACAACCAACCTAAACCAGAGAGATCAATGCTCTTGAAACCAAAGGACCTGTTTTCAAATCCTGGCTCTGACATTTAATTACTGTGTATAATAGCAGGGCAAATTACCTCAGTTCCCTGAGCTTCAGTTTTCTCATTTTAAAAGTAAGGATAATAATATAATGATAATGATACTGATAATATTGGAGTGAAAGAAATTCTGAATTTAGAGGCAGTAGATTTGGGATCAGCTTTAACCATTACTGCTTCTTACCTGAGAGCTTGGTCAAGGAAAGGCCACAGTTTCTTCCTCTATAAAACGAAGAGGAGGGGCAGCTAGGTGGCATAGTGGATAGAGCACTGGCCCTGAAGTCAGGAGAACCTGAGTTCAAATCCAACCTCAGACACATGACGCTTACTAGCTGTGTGATCCTGACCAATTCACTTAACCCCAGTTGCCTCACCAAAAACAAACAGACAAACAAATAAACAAAAAAAAAAAACAAGAAAAACAAAAACGAAAGGGACTAGATTAGCTCTCAGGTCCCTTCCAGCTCTAAATCTATAATGTTGTAGTATACCTCATAAGGCTGGAAAACACAGCTTTGTAAACCTCAAAGTGCCACAGGAACAGGAGTTAAAAATGATTATAAAAATAAAAATTAAATAAAAAAATAAAATTTATAAATTTATTTATAAAAAATAAAAATTGTGTTATAAAAATGATTTTAGGGGCAGCTAGGTGGCGCAGTGGATAGAGCACTGGCCCTGAAGTCAGGAGGACCTGAGTTCAAATCCAGCCTCAGACCAAACACTTGACACTTACTAGCTGTGTGATCCTGGGCAAGTCACTTAACCCCAATTGCCTTAAAAAAATAAAATAAAAATGATTTTATCAGTCACATGTGGGAGTTTCCCAACTTCCTAGTGGGTCACAGTTATAATGTATCATCAATGTTATCCCAAAATGGGAGCAGTTAGGTGACACAGTGGATAGAGCATCAGGCCTGGAGTCAGGAAGACCAGCCTCAGATACTTACTAGCTGTGTGATCCTGGGCAAGTCACTTAAGCCTGTTTGCCTCAGTTTCCTCATCTGTAAAATGAGCTGGAGAAGGAAATAGCAAACCTTTCCAGTATCTTTGCCAAGAAAACCCCAGATGGGGTCACGAAAAGTCAAACACAAATGAACAACAACAATCCCAAAGTGACATTAGTTAGGATGGCATTATGTGGGGTGTGCCTTCATGGACTATCTGAATGCCCCCTCGGCCTCTGAGCAGAGATTCTGTATTACCAAAATTTTCTTCTTTCACAATCATTGGCTCCAGGGCCAGTTTCTGGGGGGTATTTTATAGTGAGCCGTGTGGTTCCTTGGGTTGGCTTGAGCGGAGTATATTACAGGCAGGAATTATCCTTGTATATTTTCTTCAGATTGCCTTATTGGAAAAAAATAAAAAACTGAGATTCTACTCTAGTTTCTTATTGGTTATATTTCTTTCCCACCTATCCCTTTCTTCGGGACACAAAGAAAAGGCATTACTGGTAGCTATGTTCCCTTTTTTATATCAATTGCTGCTACATGTTTACTGAAAGTTCAATCATATTTTAGGCAACAGAAGAAGCTTCTGAAAGTCCTTCAGGCGATTGAAAATGACCCTGCCCATCTCAGTCATGTAGGACCTGAGGAACCTGTATCATATCTTGAGGTGAGAAAACATGCCCTATTTAACCTTTGATAAATGTTTAGTAGGAGCCATCTCTAAAACACCAGTCTGTAAAGAGGCAGTGTCATAGAGTGGTAAGAGCACCAGATCTGGAGTCAGTTCATTTATCGTATCATAGGATTTAGGAATGGAAGAATTCTTAGCAGTCATCTAGCCCTAAATCCCAGTTTTATAGATGAAAAAACAAATCTCTCAGAGTTCAGTTTTGCTTTCTGTAAAATAGGGATAATAATGCTTTCACTATCCACCTCGGATATTAAAGGAAGTACCAAGTAAGATATGCAAATAAAACTCTTGCAGATATATAAATGTCCTTTGTAAGTGATAACTGTCATACAATAATAGTAGCAGCAAGCATTTTTTCTGGTGTGTAGGTTAAGAAATAAAGGCATTGAGAGTTAGGAAGGAGGAGTGTGGACCAGACCTTAGAAGGTCTGTCGTAGGCTGTGCCTTCCAACTCCTTATTTTGCATGGGTCTGCACCGACTCTTATTTTGTGCTAATGATCACTCTTCATGAACTGCTGCTAGATTATACAATATTTAGTTATGCCCTGAAAGTCAAGTAAGAAGACTCTTACTTTTAAAACCCAGGCAAGACTTATTTTTAACTTTTATGGCATAATTGTGACTATTCCAGTGGGTACCATTTCTGCCATGAACCCAGAGGTTGCCTTTTAGCTGGTGTATACCCTGGTAAAGGAGCATAAGTGGCAGAAGCAATAGCAGAGTTGCCATTTTGACGGTGATGTTCTCCTAGCTAATAAGCCTTTCAGCTTCTACATTTAGAAACTAAATGGAAAGACTTTACCAATTGTATGTTATATTGGGTGCAATCCAGAATAGCCAGTCTGCAAGGCATTCTGCTTCCATCTGGCATCTTTCAAACTGCCAACTCACAACCCTGCTTTTTAGCACCTCTTCAGATGGTCATCTGGCCCCCGTAAAGCACATGAGCAGATCTTGTTCCCCTCAGGACCCTCTCATGAGCTAGGTCAGTGTTGCTCACTTCATCTTACAACCAGAGAAACCCTGGCAAAGAGAGAAAAAGTTGTCTGGCCAGGACCGTGTAAGTCACTCATTAGAGGAACAAAGTCTGTGTTTTGCCTGGTGACTAAATAAAAAGTCCTGAATTGCCAACATTATGGAAAATCTGACCTTCCACCCTTCATCATTGTAGATTGGAAACAGTAGCTGCCCCAAACAATGGGCAACATAATAGAGTAGAAATATCACTTAGAGAAGTAGTTCTAGTCCCAACTTGAGCCCTGACTGTGTGACCTTGGGTAAATCACAATTCCTCTGTGAGCCTCAGTTTCTTCACCTGTACAGTCAGCTCATACTAATAACCCAGGGTTTTACAGATCCACGCTAATGGGGTTAATAGCTAAAAAAAAAAAAAGTAATGAATAGTTGTTGCTCATTTCCTCAGCTCCCTGTTCACAGAACCATTACAGATTGCCAGATCTCATTTACGGAGGGCACGTGGGAAATTCTGTCTTTTATAAGTGATTGATCTGTGGAGACAGGTGCCATATTCCAGACCATAGAAGGTGTATTTGAAGACCATTCTGTGATTTTACTGTATGTTTAAGACATTCATAGAGATTTGCAAACAATTACAAGTATAACCTGTAGTCTTTTCTCCCAATAATGTCATTAACACTTTATAACCATATTTTTACATAACAAAAACTTGCTTTCCAAAATCCTACTTTAATATTATCTGGCCCACCACCTAAAACAAAATCAATCAATTAATTAGCAAATATTGCATTAAGGCAGCTAGATGGTGCAGTAGATAGAGTGCTAGCCCTGGAGTTAGGAAGACCTGAATTCAAATCTGGCCTCAGACACTTACTAGCTATGTGACCCTAGGCAAGCCACGTTTTCCTCAGTTTCCTCATCTGTAAAATGAGGATAATAATAGCACCTACCTCCCAAGGGTTGTTGTGAGAATAAAATGAGGAAATAATTGTTAATGCTTAACACAGTGCCTGGCACTTAGAAATCACTATATAAATATTAGCTATTATTATTTATTAAGCACTTACCAAATACCAGACACTGTGTTAAGTACTAAACATATGAAGATAAAAGTGAAAATCCTCACCCTCAAAGAGCTACGTTCTAAATGGGTCAAATGAGTGAAAGAAAATGCTTTCTCATTCATTCATGTAGGTAACATGATATATTCAAGACACGTGGAAGGTGGACAAAAAAAGGGAAGTCACAAGCAGCTGGCGAGATCAGGAAAGGCCTTCAGCAGAAGGAAGACTGAGCCAGGCACTAAATTCTTTGATAAAGGAGGGAGAATATCCTAGGGGTCAGATGTGAATTTTGGTAGAGTGAACCTGAAAAGCCTGAAAGCTACTGAATGAGAAGGATTTAAGGAGAGTCTGGAAGGGGCAGTGGGGTATGGGGAAGCTCTCCTGTTTCCAGTCTGGGACCAAAAGTGGTTGGGGTGGAAGGTATTTTGAGACAAGATGCAACCAGTATCATACAGAGCAAACCAGATCTCAGTGAGGGCTAGAGGATGGAAGCAGGTCTAAAATAAAAGAGGGAAGTTTATTAATTGTAGTATGAGTGTTCAAGAGGGCGTAATGGAAGAAACAGGCAGATCTGGAGTGGGACTTGGGTGAGTGTGGTTGAGGTAGATGACGATGAGAAAGTGAGTAATGAATTGGGGAAGGGAGTATTCTTCAGCAGGCAAGGACTCAGTGTCATCCCCCCACTGAAAAAAGCAAAACAGATTCTTACATTGGCCATATCCAAAAATGTATGTCTAATTCTGCATCTTAAGGCTTCCACCTCTCTGTCAGGAAGTGAATAGCATGTTTCGTCCTTGGTACTCTGGAACCACAGTTGGTCATTACATTGATAGGGTAAAGATAGGGAAAGTAAGAGGGTTTGGAGGTTGGGGGATGAATCTAGGCAGAGTGTTGTTGTTGTTCAGTTGTTTTAGTTGTATCTAACTCTTTGTGACCCCATTTGGGGTTTCCTTGTCCAAGGTATTGGAGAGGTTTGCCATGTACTTTGCCAGCTCATTTTACAGATGAGTGAATTGAAGCTAATAGGGTTAAGTGACTTGCCCAGGGTCACACAGCTAGTAAGTGTCTGAGGCCAGGTTTGAACCCAGGAAGATGAGTCTTCCTGACTTCAGGCCCAACATTCTATCCACTGTACCACCTAACTGCCCTTATAGGCAAACTATCAGTGGATAATAGGAACTATGCTGATAAGTGCAGGTAAATAGAATGCTCAAGGTTTTGATGTGACCACATAGTCTCAGTGAGGACTAAAATTAATCATCATAGAATTTTGAACGAGAAGGGTCACTGAAGATAATTTAGTCCAGCTTCATTTGAGAAATGAAGGAATGGAGGCCCATAAAAATTAAATGACCTGCTCATGATCACTTGGCTAGTTATTCACAGCACTGGGACTGAACCCCAGATAATCTGACTCTAACTCCAGTGGGGGGGTTTCCCATTATACAACTTCACAGATTAATTAGAAGTTGAATCCCAGTTGCAGTATTAATTTTCTCAAGCTTTGGGTGGCTTTCTAGTGTCACTGAAAGTATTGACCATTGTCAAACCCTATAACACTGTTTCACCTCCTATTATATTTTAATAGAAGTAGTTAATGATATTAAGCATGCTATTCCTGTACCAAAGAAGAGAGAGAAAGACAGAGTGTGTAAGACAGAGACAATAAGAGAGATGCAGAGAGAGAGAGAAAGAGAGAGAGCACCACTCCTGCCCCTCTGCCATGGAGATATGAAGGCAGTAAAATAAATGGAATAAATATTTTTTGATATGTGATTGACGGAAATGGTGACAAATATATCCAGTGAAGAAGAGAAATACATGTCCTTGTAGAGTTTAACATCCATGCTGTATTTTTATTAGTTGTCTTTTTTTTTTTTGAGAATACATTGAAATCCAAAGTAGAAGAGATCAAAGATGCTATTTATGTGACCATGGAAATTCTGTCCAACTGGGGAAATGAGGTCTGTGTAGGTCTGACAGAAGTGGAATTCTTTGACCTCAACAATGAAAAGGTGTTTGTGTCACCTCATGATGTGGATATCCGAAATACTGACAAGCCTGGGGACCTGAGCTGCCTCATCAATAGAAACCTGACTGTAAGTTTGTGCTTATTTTTTTCCTTTTATGCCCTTAATGTATTTGACACTTTTACTCAGAAGAGCTTAAAGTTAATTAGTCCTTAATTCCCCACAAAATTACTGTGGGAAAAGCATCTAAACATATTCTCTCTCAAATATCCCATTCTATCGATCCCTGATCCTCATGATTATGGGTCATGTTTATGGGCCCTTGACCTTTGGAGCTGTTGAGGATTTCTCATCTCAAAGAGTCAATAAAGCATAAGGACCTACTTTAAAATTTTTTATTGTAACTTTTTTTTTTTAAATTAACAAGCATTAATTTTCTCCCTCTCCCACTTTCCTCATTTAAAAAAAGGAAAAAAAGACCATAAATATGGATATTAAAAGCAAAACAGTTTCTTACATTGACTGTGTCCAAAAATGTATGTCTAATTCTGAATCTTGGGTTATCATCTCTCTTTTAAGAAGTGGATAGCCTCATTCTTGGTACTCTGGAACCGTGTTTGATCATTATATTGATCAGAGTTGTTAGTCTTTCAAAGTTGTTTATCTTTATAATGTTGATGTTATTATATAAATTGTTTTCCTGGTTCTGCTCACTTTACCCTGTGTCAGTTCTCCAAGTCTTCCCAGGTTTCTCTGAAACTGTTCTCTTGATCATTTGTTATTACATAATAATATTCCATTATATTCATATGCCACATATTATTCAACCATTCCTCAATTGATAGCTTAGCTTTCAATTCTTTGCCACTGCCAAAACTGCTTCTATAAATATTTTTTGTAAAAATGGATCCTTTTCCTTTGAGGATGGAGTTTAGGCCTAGTAGTGGTATTACTGGGTAAAAGGGTTTAATAACTTTGGGGCATAGTACCAAATTGCTTTCTAAAATGGCTGGACCAATTCACAATTGGTACATTAATGTACCTGTTTTCCTGTAGCCCCTTCAATATTTGTCAATTTTCCTTTTATGTCATATTTGCCAGTCTGATGAAGTTGCTTTCATTTGCCTTCCTATCATTATTAGTAGAGCATTTTTTAGTGGAGCACTTTTTCTCCTTATGATTGTTATCTTAGAGTTCTTTCTTTGAAAACTGCTCGAATCCTTTGACTATTATTAGTTGAGAATTCCTTGTAGTGTTACAAATTTAAATCATTTCTTGACATGTCTTGGAAATGAGACCTATATCAAAGAAATTTGCTGCAAAGATTCCCCCCCCCCCCCAGGTAACTGTTTCCCTTCTAATTTTAGTTGCATTGATTTTGTTTGTTCAAAAACTTTTTACATTTTATGTAATCCAAATTGTCCATATTACCTTCCATGAACCTCTCTATCCCTTGTATGGTCATGAACTTTTCCTCTATCCATAGATCCAAAAGGAAATTTCTTGTTCCTCTATTTTGTTCATGATGTGACCTTTTATATATAAGCTTGTTTTCATTTGGAGTTTTTCTCGGTATATGGTGTGAGGTGCTTGTTTGAATCTAATTTCTGCCAAATTGTTTTCCAGTTTTCCCAGTAGTTTTTGTTGAATATTAAGTTCTTAAGCAAACAGTTGCAGTCTTTGAGTTTATCTAACAGAAACCTATTTTTTTCCGTAGTTTTTGCCAAGTAGACATCAAAGCTACCATTTTTTGGGACACATCATAAATATTTTCTTTCTTTTCTTTTTCTTTTTTTAAGGATTTTTTTTATCATATATAGTTAAAGTTAGAATCACTGATTTATAATCCCAAAATAATAAGAGGTTATCTCTCCATCTGTAGACTCTAGCCATATGGTTCCAGTTGGTTTCTCTGTTTTCTTCCTTGCTTCTATGAAGTAGAGAGTACAGAAATTGCTTTACTGTTTTTACCCGACGAACCCTTAGAAGCTGACATTTAGTATAGCAATTTAATTGAATTGCTCTTCTTTAAAGTTTCCTAAAATAGCCAAATCATGTAAATAAAAGAGAAGTATTAGATGGAATCCAGCTGGAGTTCAGAAAGGTGTTTATTCCCTATTACATGTGACATTTTTACCAACACATATATAATACATGTTGGTGAAAATGTCACATGTGATTAAGAAAAATATATATATGGGGGGAGGGGTCTAGAGTATCTCCACTTTTCCCCTTACCTGATTCCCTTCCACCCAAAGAAGGCACACAGTAGGTGCTTAATAAGTGTTTTTTGATTGATTGATTGACTTGACTATACTTTCATCAGCAAACAGCGTCCAGAGCCTCACAGTTTCAATCTCCCACATAAAGTCTTAAAGACAGAGGCTATAAGGAGCACAAGGGGGAGAGCCAAGAGATGAGGAGCTTGCAGTTTGCCACTTTTTCCCAGAATGTTGACTGGGGCTCAATAGCTACAGGGTCTGCAATTCACTCCTTTCATCCCTGGGGAGACCATGGGAGTCCCCATTTGAGAATCAATCCATAAGTATTTATTAATCTACTGTAGACTCAGTCCCATGTAAGGAGAAACATAAGAAGGAGACATTTTTCCTACCTTCTAGAAGCTAAGAGTCTATTTGTGGTATTGAGAATCACACACATAAAATGACAGTGGCTGATACACAATAATCTCTAAGTGCTCAGTTGTTGGGAATAGATAAATATTTTTGAGACCTAAAGGAGAGGGACATCTTTGAGAGCTAGGGTAGTTAGCTAGGATCTCATGAAGGATGAATTTGAGCTGGACAGGATTTTGACAAGGAAAACAGACAAAAAGGCAGCATTCCAGGTGAAAACACACAGTGGGAACAAAGGCACAGAATGACTGAATGTTAGCCAGGAGCATCCACAGGAGGAAACTGAGGCCCACCCAGAATATGGAAGTGACTTGCCCAGATTTGTACATTTATGACAGAGGTAAGTCACAAGCCAAGGTTTAGGATTCCTAGCCTAGAGAACATAGAATATTAGGACTAAAAAGAACCTTAGCACATAGAATCACCCCAGATTATTAGAGGTGGAAAGGAACTTTAGAGAACATCTAATTCATTTCAGAAAAATATAAAAGTCTTAGTGCCTGGTTAGATATGAGGAATATAGAAGACTAAATCAAAGATGACCCTCAAGTTTTGACCCCTGCTCACTGGGAGAATGGTGGTGCTAATGATAAGGACAGAGAAGTTTGAAGGAGGCTGTCAGAAGGGGGAGAAGAGAGCAGAAGCAACAGAATGGTCATAGGATCATAGATTTAGAGTTGTAAGTGACCCCAAAGTTCATAGAGTCCAATCCCTTCATTATACGGATGAGGAAAGTGAGACTCAGAGGGGTTAAGTGACTTACCCAGGGTCATGTAGCTAGAGTGATGGGGAAGGAATGCAAGGAAGCATTGTAGAGGTGAGGCTGATACTGACCAGAGGGCTGTGCCTAAGGAATTACCAATGGTTCAAGCTCAGCTGGAGAGGGGTACATATGCTCTCAAAGGTTAATGCTATGCCTGGTATAATTTCCATGGTTAATGTCTTTTGATTTTATCATTAAACTGAAAGCACGAACCAGATTTGCAAATGATGTCATATTGATTAGGGATATCTAACATTTCAGCTGAAATAGAATTTAAAATGGCCTCCAAAAAAATTAGAAAAATGTTCATCCAGACAACTAATAGTGCAAGTGTAGGACATATAAGAAGAAGTGTACACTGAACTTCCAGCCATAGCTAATATATTTAGATGAATTGACAAAGGCATAGTAATGCTGTGGTCCGCTCACTTTGCATAGCACTGTTAGGCTGGTTTTGGCCTCATAACTTTTGAAACCTGGAAAGAATATCGAAAGGAACAATGGAACTGATTCAAAGAATGAAAAGAGGTGGGAAATCCGTAGACTTGGGGGGTGGGGGGAGGAGAAACCCTTTTGAAAAGAAACTTAATAACAGTCTTTAAGTATACAAAGAAATTAGAAGAACACAAAAGCCACCATTTCCCCCAGTAGGCCAAAAGAGAGAAAATGGCAGCCAAGGCTTGTGGTTTAGTATAATCTTCTCCAAAAGAGAAAGTTGACAGTCTGCTAATGAAGAATGTGAAAACAAACATTGTCCCTGAAGTAAGTGCACATGTGTTAGTAGAAGGAACATTAGATCAGGAGTCAGGAAGGATATTTGTGTTCTTGTCCTGACTGCCATTTATTGCTCTGAGCCTCAGTTTCCTTTTCTGTTCAATAAAGGGGTAAGATTAGAACATCCTTCTGTTATTTTCCATTCCGTGATTCTAAGTCCTTGGAAAATAAGTCAGATAATTATCCACCTCAGATGGCTTAATTAAGTATCCATCTGCCTAGAAGATGTGACCTTTTAAGTTACTGTCTAGCACTATGATTCTAATCTGTAAAACTATAACCTTTGCTTCTGAAACTTAGTTTGGCTCACTGTCTTCCACACCATTGGTTCTAATAGCTTCAACATTTTGGAAACATGATACATAGACATAAGCATCACAAGGGTAATAAAAAGAGCCATTGGATTTGATGTGGACCAATTTCTTGATTATTATGCCTTTTCCTGTGGTTGCCTAAAGCTGTGAAACATTGCCGTGTGACCACAGTAGGAATTTTGGCACCTTCTGCCTGAGATTTCTTGCAGCATTACTATTGTGACATAAGGCAGCTGTCCTCACCCTGGGTTTAGGGTCTAAATCTCTAAGTCCACACTGAAAGTAGAGTAAATTACACTTACTTTTTTTGGCACAAGGTCTTCCTGTTAGCCAGTATCATCGGTTTCACACCCTAACTCCACAGCCCCAAATTCCAGCCCTGGGCCTGGTCCATCAGAACATGCTGCCTTTCAAGTATATTTGTAGCAAGTGTCCCTGGGAGAGAAGCATAGGTCAGAAAGAAAGAAGAGGTTCTACATATGGAGTACTGAGGGGAGAGTAGAAGGGAGAGGCAGGCAAGTTAAAGATGCTTCAAAGGATAGCTGGGCACTTGTCCAGTGTCCTGTAGAGTCACCTGCGCTTTTTTATGCTTTTGTAAGGAGGGAACTATCCCTGGAAATTATACCTGCTGGCATGGTGTTATGGGAACTTTTCTGGCCTGATTTTTATCGGTAGTTCAACCCCTAACATCATGACTACCTAGCCTTTTATCTTTAAAAGACTGAATTTGTGGAAACGAGATTTCAAAGGTCTTAGTTGCTAATAAGGACCTCAGTTATACACAGATTAATATTCTTTTACTTTCTACGTGATTGTTATTGCTGACTCCTCTTTATTTCTCTGACTGACAGAAATGAGAAGGAAGATCAGTTGCAAGGCCGAGGCCTCATTTCAGGGTTGGGAATTATTCTATTTCTATTTGTCAAGTAGCCATAAAGGCCAATTTCAGAATCAGAATTTTAGAACCAGGGATGAGCTACTGCCTCCATCACTCCCACCCTTCCACTGGATTTTTTAGTACCTTGTATACTCCATCCAAACTTCCCAGAATAGAAAAAGTTCATGTGTGGCTTATGGAACTTGCCCAAATTAGTCATAAGCCCTCAAAACTGTCTCTTCCTCTCTCTCTTGTAAAAACAATTTTCTCTCTCATCTGAAAGGCACTGTTGTCACAAGTAAGAAACCATCTTTGTTCTCAGTGGCAGCTGGTGTCCCAGGCATCCAAATTCCTGGGGTCCTGAAGAGGTTCAGATGCTGCCATTCACCTCTTTCACAGGACTTGGGCAAGTACTGGGCCCATTTTCAATGACAAGGAAAGCCCAGTTGAGACATGCTAGAGTACAGGATGTTCCTCTTCTTAAATAAAACTGAAGTTCTCAAGGAGTACGGTGCCAAGTGTGTGGTAGAGCTGTGGACAAATAGGAATTGATGATGATGACATTAATGGTGATGATAATGATGATGATAATTGATGATGAAGATAATCCTCTGAAGACTATAGGAAGGAAATTTGAATGAAGTTATCAAATACTTGTTTGAGAAAAGTTTCCATATGTCTGTAGTTTGCGGGGTTTTTTTCCTTCTCTGTCCAAAGCAAATGCTATCAACAGTATGAAATATTGCTGACGCAAATTTATTCAGAAAAACAACTTAGATTTTTCTGCGAGAGGTAAATGGCATAGGGGTCTAGTCAGGCTCATTGGGAGGTAAGACATTCTGCAGGGTGAGAACCTATAAAAAAGGAGAAATAAATCCCAAGGGTTGAGCATGTCGTTAAATTTTTTTTTTTGTAAGGCTAAAAAAAAACTTGAAAGTCTTCACATGTCAGTTGAACAATAGCCTCTTTCTCATCCCCATCCCTCCCCCATTTTCCCTAGGCTGCACAAAGCTGATTAGGTTGATTAAAATAGACCAAATGGTGACCCTGCCTTTACAGTTCATCGTGGATGGCAAATCAGAGGGGAGTGGGCTGACTTCCTGCCAGATACAAGGGTCAGGAGCCTGCAGCTATATATAGAAGAGGTGGCATGGGAGCCAGCTTTCTATGGTGGTTCATGCCCTCTGCTCTTTTTAATTAGATGAAGAATTAATCACAGATATTTACTTTGGTGAAAAGGGAAGATGTACTCATGGCTTTCTTTGCTCGTTGGTTTTCAGAGTACTAAAGAGCTCTCTTTGTGGACCTGTCCTTTCCACCCTCCAGTTCAGCTTTTCTTTATCATCCGCAATACTAGACAATCCCATGAATTTGGCATCTCCAAAATCAAGCTTTGGAATTACTGGACAACTTACAGTGTAAGTAATGACTCAATTCCTTGCTGTGTACTCAGTTGACTGAAGTACCCATTTACTCAGAGGTTGGTCCGGTTCTTGGAACTGTTAAATAGGTATAGAGAAGCATGTCCTTATCTAACCTGACAGTGATGGAAGAGAGGAGGGCATATCAGGTAGATTATGTTATATTCATTCTTATGTTCTAGTGTCCTCATATTTTGGAATTTGGTTTTACAGTTATTAGAACATCCTTTCCTAAGGCATGAAAAGAATATTCAAATGTTCTTGTAGAGAGTCACGATAAGATACTACGAAGTGTGTCTTTTTATCTTAGCCCATGGTAAGAGTCCTGTTGCTAGGAAGAGTGTTTACACAAGAGTGTGATGGTTTCATTAGCTACTTCCTGGTAAAACCAAGTGCTTTACTGGTTCGAATTTTGTTCCTCAGACTTGGTATACATTGGATACTGGTTGCAGGACATCATGTGTTATTGCATACAAATGTCCTTACGTTATAGAGTCCCATTTGTCTGGTCCATCAGCTCTGGTGCCGCATCCATTCTGAAATGGGTGATGAAATGATGATACTGTAGTCCACAATAATGTGACTTATTGCTGCCACAGTATTGCACACACTTAGTTAAAGAGGATTTTATGGATTACAGAGGAAGATTAGCTTCATTCTTTATGCCTGGTTCTCTTTTCTGTCCACCCATGCAAATGCAAAGAAAACATGCAGCCTCAGATTGGAAAGGTGGTCTTAAGTACAAGGTTCTGCACAGGAGCTTTGTGTCATTGCATGTATTTCCAGAGATATTTCCTGCAAAGATTAAACATTTGGGCAGTATTTTTAAAATACAAAACAGAATCTGGAGGATTTGAGCTCTTTGACAAGGGCCACTGCTTATGAAATAATAACCCATCTGTTTTCAAAATTTACTGGGGGAAGAAAATCACAAACAAATGCTACTAGAGGTTAATTTGGTTTGATATTTTCAGTATCAAGATATTATTGCAAATTTTTCAAGAAAAGATACAAGAGTTTATTGGAAATGTTGCATTGTAGAGTGTATGAATCTTGTTAATACAGTGTTTTATCCATTTAAAATACAGAGAAGAAAAATTAAATTTGGATAGCTGATTTAGTCTGCTTAGAAAGTGATAAAATCAGTAATGGAAAAAGTGAGAATCATTTCTTATTTTAAGATATGCTGCTTTTTTGAGCAGGCCTTGGTTTTTTACTTTGTCTTCTAATATTTCTTCCCTAATTTAAATTTTACCCTTTTCTCCTGACTGGTGGGTGTCTACTCAAAAGCCCATTTTCAATTTGTGTTTTTTAAAGTACCTTGAAGACATGACCCTTTACTTATTGTGGTGGAATGTGTTATGTGGGTAGTATAGTATATGGAATATACATGCATTATTGGAAACCTGTTACATTTCTCCAGTGTAGTGGTGAGGCCTTGTGGACATAGCTGTAAATCTAGGGAAGCAGGGCATGTCTTATAAATGTGACCTAACCATGAGAGCACTAACCCAGAAGAGTCAGGAGTAGCACAAGGTTTGACCAGAAGAAGAAAGAGGGAATAGGCACTGGCTCGATTTGAGAGTCAGTGTGGTTCTACAGATAAGATGACAGTGGCACACTGAGCTAGCAAGCCAGTGGAGCAGAGGCATATGACTGCTGGAGAGTGTTGTTAGCTCCTTGATGACAGGGAATATTTTTGTTTTCTTTGCATTTCCAGTGTTGGCCACAGCACCTGGAACATCTGGGTCCAAGTGTATGTTATGTATGGGATATTCAGGGAGGACAAGCATCTCTGGTTTGAGGGCTTGCCAAGCCCTTTTCAGGGCTGCTCATCCACCTTTGGTGTTCACCTGATTCTCCCCTCTCACCTGTGGCTCCAAGAAGCTGTAGCATGGGCAGCAACTACACTCTGGTGAACTGTCTTAGCAGACAGGCTAAACCAGGTTGAGGATGACTGAGGGGTCTCAAACCCACTGGTAATTTGGGGGGGGTGTATCTACCCCAAGCACGGGAAGACTTCCCCCAGTGAAATAGGCAAATAAGAACAATTGGTTCCAACGGCCATGAAAGCTGCTGAAGCAGGTGCTATGGAGTACTTAGAGCTTGGTCAGGCATCGAAGACACCAAAATTATCCATTGCATCCTAGACCATTGCCAGTTATCTTGACTTGCCCTGCCACTGGACTCTTCTCAGGAAGAGAAAGGCTGACAGCTTTGTGCAACTCTGCCTCACTTAAATCCATTTCATGCGCAAGTCAAAACATCACCCATGATGTCATTGGTACTCTTTGAAAACAAAGAAGAAAAAACAATCCAATATCAACTGCTTCCTCACCGAAGTGTGGTAGTACTTTTACTCCTCCCTAAACGATTGTGTATCCTGCTCTCTTCAATGGCTACTCCAGATCTTCTCTTCTCTCACCAAGCGTCTCACAGTACTTCTTCCCCAAACCCTGTAGGCTTAGGTTCTGGCCTCATGCTTTACTGAAAAAAGCCAAAGCCATTCACTCTCTTTTCTCCCCTGTGCCCCACATGACAATCCCACCTCCTCATTTCACATTCCTTTGACATCATCCCATCACCACCCCCACTCCTAGTCTCCTTCTGGATGATGATGTAGGCCTTCTGCTCCCTAAAGCTAACTCCTCCACATGTACTCATCTCCAAAAGATTGCCCCCCATTATTGCCTTCTCTTTCTCAAATTTTCAGTCTCTGTTTTCAGATCCCTTCTCTGTTGCCTTCAAATATACCCAAGTCTCCCCATCCTTAAACAATCCTCATTAGTTCCTGTCATCCCTGATAGCTGTCATTCTATATCTTCCCTTTCTCAGCCAAACTCCCCCCAAAAGCTGTTTATTTATACCAGGTGCTTATTCTTCTCACTCTCTTCTGAACCCGTTGCATTTTAACCTCTGACCTCATCACTCAACTGAAACTACTCTCCCCACAGTTACCAGTGATCTCTTAATTATCAAATTCAATATCTTCCTTGATCTCTTTGCTATGACATTCACTCCACTCTGGGTTTTTACGGCACTGCTCTCTCTCTCTCTCTCTCTCTCTCTCTCTCTCTCATCTACTATTTGTCTGATCTGTGGGTGTCCTTCTGCCCAGGTGCTGTCCTGGGCTCTCTTTTCTCTCTAAACTCTCTTGATGACCTCAGCAGCTCCCAAAGGTTCAATTATCGTCTCTATGCTGATTACTCCCAGATATATATAGTCAGTCCTAGTCTCTCTCTGGAAATTTTGGACTGGATGGTTCATAGACACCTCAAACTCAAAGTATATAAAACAGAGCTCATTATTCACCTCCCACTCCAAATCTACTCCTGTCCTGGACTTCCCTACTTCTGTGCAGTGCACCACTATCCTCTTGGTCACCCAGGTGCATAACCTCAAGGTCATCCTCCCTCTATGCTTTCACACACATAGCTAGTCATCTGCAAAATCTTGTCACTTCTTTCTCCACATCGTCTTTCACAAATATCCCCTCCTCATCACTCATGCATTTAACCTCTAGTTCAGTTCACCTTTCTCCTGGACTATTGCAGGAATCTCCTAATTGGTTTCCCTGGCTTATCTTCCTACTCTAACCCATCCTCCACATAGCTGCCAAAGTGATTTTCCTAAAGTGCAAATGTGACCATGAAATTGCCCTTCATGATGAATTCCAGTGGGGCAGTCCCTGTGATCTGTAGGATTAGACACAGATCCCTCTGTTTAGCATTTGCCTACCTCCTTAATCTCCAAGCCATCTACCTATGTGTGTGTCCATTGCCTCTTAAGGATGACCATTTCCTTACAGGGTTCTGAGTCACTGAGAGTGGGATCATTTCATTTTTTATCTTTCTATCCCTAGCACTTTGCACATAATAAATGCTTGTTGAAATGAAATAAAATGAAATGGAAAACATCCCTCTGTAGCTAATTTAAGTGAAGCTTGAGGGCAGGGCCAGCTTCATGTAGCAAGGCATAAAAACACATATGAACCCACAAGAAATTAGGTGCTGTAAACAATGTGAGCCCTATGTAGAACTAAAACCCTCTCCATTATCCTACTATTGAACCGTTCAGTAGACTGGATCTCAATAGTGGTTCCTTAAACTTCTGTCTGATAGCAGCACCAATTTAGGCTTCTGATCCATCCACTGCCTCCTATTTCCAGCCCCTTAGCTCATTATTCTCAATCCCTAGGAGCAGATTCTGGCTCTTCACTATGAATCCAGTGTTTCTGGCCCCTTTCCTGAACAGAAACCTTGCAGTCATTGTCTTTTTTTTTGCTTCTTGGTCTGCAAGACTTCAGCCTATACCCTGGAAGTCCCTCAACTGTAGCCCACAGTAGGTCTTTTTAGAGAGGAAGGAATGGTACAGTTTTGTGTTGGACGGCATGTTTATTTCACTTGTTTTTATCAAGGTTCACCTCTAAGCTTAGATAGCTCCTTGAGTTGCAGCTCTTGGAACTTTGGGACAACATCTGTGAAGATGAGAAGCCTCAGAAGGGACATTGTAGCTGCCTTCAAATATTTGAAAGGCTGTTGCATAGGAGAGAGATTACAGTTGTTCGGTTTGGGCCCAGAGGATGAAGCTAGGAGTGCTTGGTGTAAGTGGCAAAGAGGAGAATGTAAACTTGATGATAGGAAAGTCTTTTTTAAAAATTAGAGTTATTCTAAGAGGAATGGAAAGTGTTGGCTCCCCTTCACCAGACATCTTTAAACCCAGCCTTGATGATGTTGTAAAAAGGCTTCTTCTTCATGTATGGGTTGGACCAATTATCCTCAGAGCTTCCTTTTGCCTTCGCTCAGTGATCTCAATGACTTCAGATTGTCACCTCAGTGCCAGTGATTCTCAGATCTACTTATCCAGCCCTAACCTCCAGTCTTGCATCTCCAGCTGCCTATTGGATATCTTAAACTGAGTATCTTATAACTGCTTCAGCATGTCCAAAACCTGAATTCGTTATCTTTCCCCCAAAATCCTTTTCCAAACTTCCCTGT